ATCTATGCCTTACGTATGTGTTTGCCTAACATGGCGCCCATCACTTCTGGTTCAGACTTGTGGGAACTTTGAATTTCACAAAGTCCGATCTTCTCCATGCTACGCCACATTGATGCAGTAATTCATGTAACCGACTATGGAGTGCATAGAAATTAAAATACTTTGTTTTCTGTTTAGAATCTCTCTTTTTTTTATTAATCTTATGTAATGTTGTGATATTTCTGAGACTGAATATTTGGGTTTTCATTTTCTGTAAACCATAATGACCAGAAACTACAAGAAATAAAGGTTCTCTGCATTTGTGTTAAAATGTCCCACAATTTGAATTGAGATGTCAAGTTTGCATCAACCTGTTGATTGAAAACTTTCCAAAGATGTTGAAATAACCAATGAGTGGATTTGGAGTCCAACTTTTTGTCACCATCGTGTTTTCAGCAACAATTAAATATTATGATATACAGTCAAAACTGCTGGCTCCAAAAGCAGAATTCATAATTATATTTTTATTCAAGTTGTCTTTGAATCATAAATCTGCTAAATGTTTACGAGTTTGCACTGATCAGCTGTGAATGTGTCCCATGCTGATCACATCTGTTTGAATTTCTCTGTCTAATGGGAATCTTACGTTCTTGTAAATGTGGATGAAGCAAATACAGACGTCTGACACAAACAGTTTTCTACCCAGAAATATGAGGGTAAATAAAGTTACACAACTATAACATAACATTCTCACAATTTAATGTACAAGATGGTGTGTTTCTATTTCAAACCTGGTCCACAAATCTTTACAGAAATACTATAAAACTTTTGCATGTGTGCTGGTTATATTTATATTTTTGGTTTAGTTTCAACTAATAAAGTTTTGTAGGATCATATAGAAGAAAATATGAAAAGTCACTGTTGTAAGAATCGCTATATATTATTGTGTGGTTCCTCCTGTCAGGATAAAATCAAACGTCTAAATCAAATGTTAAACTGTAAAAACAACATTTTACCAAGTATTTTGGTTTAGTTTCCACTCCACAGATTCAGAGTCATAATTTCGACTTTCAAAGTCATATGACTTTGAAAGTCAAAATTATGACTTTGAAAGTCAAAATTATGACTTCCTGTTGGTCTTATTTTTTCTTTCATGGCAGAAATGGGCTTCCATACACAAGTTTTTGGTTGAGTCCAATTTTTTTTGAAACTCCTGTTTTTTTGGTTGAACTCAATGTTTCTTGATTAAACACAACTTTATTTGCTTGCTAATCTCACATGAACATTCTGGGCGGGGCTTAAGGACGAGCGATGTAAGACGCGTTCCGATTGGTTAGCACTGACCTAAGCGATGACTTCCTGAGATCTCAGAACTCCGTCCCGAACTGCCGGGCTTCGGTGACGGGACAACAATGTGAATGGTAAGTAATCTTCACAAAATTACATCGTTTAGCAGCTACTAAAGTGTACTTAGTTTTATTCCGAATTAGATGTAATATGCCTTTTGCTGTGTTATGATATTAAATTAA